TGATGATATGTTGCCGCATGCCACTGACAAATTTTCTCATGATTTTCGCCTACTATCACTACCGCAACGATTCAAAGCCGATAATTTAAACGTGAAGCCCAAAAAGTGTGTAATTCGTGTTTAAAAATTCAGTTGTATGGTTTACCACGTTACATCCTCTGCATTCCGCCTTGATGCCGATCGTCTTAAACCACTAATTGATGCGAAATCACTGACAAACGTTCATAAACCAAGATCCTTGATGGGAACCTTAAAATACTAATCAGAGTTTGCACGACACTTTACTTCTATTGTCGAGCTGTTCTATTCACTATACGCTAAAGCTTTCGTTTGATTTATAGGGCATGAAACAGTGCTGCAGAAACTACTAAGCCCACTCCAGTCTGACTGTGTTCCTCGACGTTTCTCGCCTGGAAGTCGTCCCGCAAGTATTACTGATGCTTCTTCAAACAGTATTGGTGCTGTGTTAGAACAAGGAGGACGCCTAGTTCTTTGCATTTCTCATATACTCAGCGAGGCTGAGATATGATACGCGCAGAAGCATCGTGAAGCTGTGGCTGTGCATTAGCCTGTGCTTCGAGTACCCAAATATCTGTTCAGTTCGAAGATCACAACAGTAACTACCCTTAAAGCCTTGAAGTAAATATGTAATCCATCTAGCTCTTTGGCGAATTACTCTGCAGCGCTGGTTCAAAGATGGAGCATCACAATCAGGGCTTATGATTATGAGATAGAACACATAAGTGCTAAAGAAGTTCCTCAAGTGGCTTATCTCTCTTAACATACTTGCTAGCTTGAAGCTGATTCTCAAGTTGATTACCTACTTGCTCAGCCACTTCCTATATCTCGTGCAGCTCTAATTTATGAAACAAGGAAGGATGTTGGCTCAATACTATCAACTTCAAAACGAGGCTGGTCGCCTCTGTTGACGCGGAAGTTTGCCCACTTTTACCAAAAGTCGTGATGAATTATATGTTACTCCTGTTTGCATATTGTGTGTCAATGTTCGCATTGTGATTCCTCCGCCTTTGCCAGCTTCACTTTTGACTGCTCTTCAATCTGCACATTTGGGCATTGAAAAGATGAAGTCTTTGTTGCCGGCCTGAGATTGATGCTGATATTTGATAGACTGCATCACTATGTGAAGGCTGTCAATACAAGGTAAGAGGTCAGCCATTTAACTGGACACCCTGCCCGGTGGCGTATGAAGCCTGGCAGTGTGTCTACCATGATTACTGTGGTTCATCCATTTAGAAGTATTGTGTGCTTGTAATTTTTGATTGTTATTCGAAGTGGCCTGAGGTATTCATGACAGATAAACCAAATACCAGTTTTACTATTCATGCCCTAAGAGAAGTGTTCAGTCGTGAATTTGTGTCTTTGGCTATTGTGAGTGATATTGGTTCTCATTTCACTGCACTGTGTATTACTGTTTGGTTACAGAGCCTCGCCTGCCGTCATCATTTTATTGTCCTTAGACATCCATGCTCCAACGGATCGGTTGAAAACTTTGTTGGTACTTTGAAACGTGCAATTACTTCATGTGTTCCAACAACATTAATTTGAACTCGAGCGATTCATTGATAACTTCTTACTACGGTATCGTAACTGCTTTCATTCTACCACTGGAGAGACACCTGCTAAATTACGCAAATCCCGATCACCGTTCACATATGCTGAGATTGAGCACTGCCGAAGTATCGTATTCCCAGAACATTGGTTTCGGACCCAGCTCTGGAATTGTGAGTAATCTTAAGAGACCTATGGTAAGGATGTTGGACCTGAATGATCTGTTTGTGCACAATCATCATGTGGACCAGGTACAGTTCAGAGACCCAGGTCAGTTGACAGAAGGTTCCAATACTTCCGAGATCGAGACTAACATGCCTTTTCCAGATTCCATTCCAGATATCGAAGATGGGAATCGACTGAGAAGTCCACAAAGTATTCAAAATAATCCCCAGAAGAATTACAGAAACCCTGAGTTGCCTTCACGCTGCGGTGGATGTAGTGATTATAAATATTCTTTTGCTTGATATTTTTTATTGGATTAATAAGGATACTAAATATTAGTGGCCATGTAATTTGGAAGCACAAGTGGTTTGTTATCCCACTATTTTGGAGATTAATTCTTTTGGAGCTTTGCGTTATTCCAGATTCTATAAGTACTACAATACGCTATCATCGCACCTACGAATATCGACTTGGGGAACATCATTTTCAACTTGCTGCATGAAAAGTAACCTCGAATTAACTATTGTGGACAACCTTGGCCGCTCGGAACAAGCAGTAAACTTTTACAAAAATTACTTGGCGTGAACTTGGCTTCTTACGTAAGGCGTTCGGGAAGTTCCGGTAATGTAATTTTCCCCAAACGCTGCACCCCTCATTAGTCATTCTGTGGAGTATGAAATCCAAGCTTAAGGTCCTTGAAGCACACACGATAGTAATGCGCTTAAACTCCATAACGTTTAGTGATTAAATTGTTAGGAGGTTGTTATACCTTACTTATCAACTCAGACTGCATTCCTTGGATGTTATAGCAGTAAATGTCGACATCTGCGAAAAGATATCATCATAGTGTAACTAACTAGTGAACCCCAATCTCACCTTTCGTGAGCTGTTGCAGCAGTCACATTAATAAACTGAGAGGCCACGGGCTGAAACACACTGCGATAGACTTGACTGCCGTCAAAACATTTCCTCGCTTTCGGTGTCCCGAACTTGACACGCTCTTCCAATACATGCTGCTGTTGACCATACATTAACACTTTTCAAAAGATGTCTTGATGGACTTTACGTGATATAGTCCCTTCCAATCAGAAAACTAGTTCAATATAAACAGTATGTTTACCAGCCCTCTAGGTAACGTGGCGGAGATGAAACCCGCAACAGTGTTTACGTGCATTGGCTGGTAAATCACCTACATCTGAGTTCCCTCTTCTTTCTATCATTTCTATAACTTTGGTCTTAATATGCGTATTCTGGTCGTCTTACGAGGCATGTCAAGAACGTGCTTTTTCACCCGTTATAAATAATTATTCATTGTTATTAAGCTGGGGGAGGCTGTCGGGATTAGTCAGACAGTCCGTGTTATCTGTTCTGAAACATTCATCTTTTATTCTCAGGACGAGCCGGGTTTCAGAAGCGAACTGTGTCATTGTTTTTGTATCTCAAGCACTCGTTGCTTGTTCTACATAACAATGTCCGGTTTTGAAACTGCCACTGAAGAGACAATATGAAATGATAAAATCTATCAAATATCATCTCCTCGCTGTGTTTCCTATCTTATTCTGTCATCATAAACTTATCTTCCCTATCTGTGAATTATCGTTCTATACCTGCTGAAATGAAGGAAATTATAGTGAAGCAGAACCATTGCTGGGTTTCTTCGTTAGGAGTAACTTAATGACAACCGATTGGTCACACGTTATTTTCGTAAAAATGATATAGTAACATAATAACTACAAGACCGTCAACTTCTCACTGCTTCGGAACTTAATCAACAACTTTTTGCATGGCTTCCTGAACTCCAGGTCTTGTATCTCTTCAGTTGAAATTTTCGAGTCAGCTTATCCATTCAAATGTTCAGTTGGTGTCCACTTCGTCATACGTAAAGCCTTTGACTCAAAATCTCATAACGGTTTCCAAACTGAGCGACAGACCTAGTTTATAAGGGTCTTGTTATGTATACATTTAAATGGTTCCCCTCGTTACCTACAGTGGTAGAAATAAAACAAAATTAATCTTATCACAGTAATGTTACCAGTGGTTGAATCCAAGTAATGGTTCTTGGTCCGTTGCTGTTCATAAAGTCCGTGAGTGACATATTTAACCAATTTGCATTTGGCACACATTCATTTTATTGATGTTTTTAACTTATTTTACTCCTTCCATCACCCCATTCTCAGTAATACTCTAACGAATATTCGGCTCGACTCCCGCACCCTTGAACCTTAGTACACCACCTGAAAACTATCCTTTACGGCTGACAATAGGAGTGACACATACGATATACAGTAGTTGCCATTAGCCCACTTTATAGAAGGTAAGTCGCTTGCTTTGTTGAACGTTACGCGAACTAGAGATCCCTAAATATGATCCCTTGACTTGTCATATGCAACAGTCAGGGCGAAATAGGGCCTCGTATTACTAGAGAGAACCTCCTCTCTAGGAGAATATATTTGCTCCATGCACGAACCATATGGTCACCCTTCATCTGATCATGGCTTGATTTTATACAGTAACTCAAGGAAATATGACTGAATCGAGCCTGAGCAAACTCAATGGGGATTCACTGTCTCAAAGGTGTCTCCTCAGCAATGTCTGAGCACCATTAACTGTTTAATCTTGGACCAGTATGTCCACGACGCATAAGAATCACCCAATAATAGTAGACCATAAGATACACTAACCACCATTTCTCCATAATCTACACACATAATACAATATTTTAACATAAGCAAGCAACTTTATAGCCGGTTGCGTACACGTGAAAGAGAAACCTAACTAGTGGAACGACGAACACATTGGTAGGTTGGACAAATCCGGATCCACTTGAACCCACCTCAGCCTTCAATGATTCGGTTCAGTTTCACTAGGCCTTGTCACTTGACATTTTTTGGTGTGGCTGAGACAATTTGTTTGGATAAGCGCTTAGATCCACTCTATCATAGCTCTGACCTACCGAGTACCTTATCCAAATCGAAATATCCGCTGTACACAAGCGCCATACACTGTTGACCCATCAACTTAGTGATCCAAATTCCTTCTGTTATAATACCAGCAACGCATCCTGAATGATATGCACTATGCCAACTAGCTACAAATTACACTTTTGACCAAGTCTTAGGCTAGTGTTTATTTGGTGTCCTTAAGCAGACTAATCTCTGCATAATCCGCAGACTGTTATTCTCACGGGAAATTGACATGTGATCGCTCAATTGATCTGTGCCACGAGTAAATGCTTTGTTTGTATTTCATAAACACAATGTGGCATTCTACTCTACGAAGTAAATTGCGGACAACCTTTAAAACTCCGTTGGGGAGAAATGGTCGCCTGTTTGAAATGGGAGTGGTGAGGCTAACACACTTCTATGGAATGACAAGGAGTATTTCCAGTGTTTGGACAATTTAATAATCTATTTATCGATTTTGTACAGTGTTGTTCTGGTTTTGCTTTTCCACCTTTGTTCTCGGACCCTACAGGTAAACTGCGACATGAAGTCAACTTATTGGTTAGTTACATAGCAAATTTTGGATAAGAGCAAAACGTTTATAAGCAACGCATACTGAGACGCGTGTAAAATGTACGGTCGCACCAAACTAATGATTTATCTTCCGGCGATTTTTGCCTTAGCCGTTTGTGTGATGAATACTAGTGCGGAGGACATATACACAGACTGCTGTAAGTTCTTTGTGGCTGAATATGTAAGCGTTGTAATTTTCTGGCACACCAGACATTCCGTACGTTATTTTGTTGTTTCTCTTCATAACTTATTATGTGCAAATAAACGCTTGCGTTATTCAACGTCATTGATGCACAAAATTATACATATTCGTCTATAAATAGATATATAGATATTTATATATTTCGAATAGTTGTTTAAGAACGACGTTTTAAACCTCCACAGCTGAACAAGGAAATGTCATCAGCGTAACGCTGAAGGATTGCAGTGCACCACCTTGCAACGCACAGGGAGGCACGACTATTCCCCTCGCGATCACATTCAAATCATGTGAGTACGTGAATTAAACCTCTTCAAACCATGGTTAAGTCACCAGTTTTGGTGCTTGCATGACTCAAATGTTACTTTTTAGTATCGACTGCCAAAAATTACTGAGCTTGTCACCTTTTCTATAAATGACAAGGTAACAGTTTGTGCTCACAGAGAGGTTATCTATATTGCATACCGACTCCATAATGTCCATCAATAACCAACAGAAATGCTTAGGCTGATGGGACCAGTATTTCACACTAGTCATTATGCCCACCTGCATGACATTATGCATTCTATACCATATATCTCTATTCTCACGCAGATGGAAATGTTACTTCAGGGAAGGCCAGGATGTGCATGAAGGTATCAGGAAAAGAGAAATGTCATAAAGAAGTGGCCGAAATAGATAATTTTTGCGATTCAACGCTAGATCGGTGTCCTCTCAAAACGGGGGACGTGCAGACATATACAACCAATTTTCCTTTTCCTGATTTGGCCGTGAGTCTTTCAAGTTATGATGCACTGTACAAGTGTGTGAACACTAGCATGCATTTGACTACCTGTCTCCAATGTTTGCAGCAAAATTTGCGATTGCGCCTCTTAGTGTCAAACAGTACTTCATAAACAGTACGCTTTTGCACTTTTTCAGCTGCTTACAATTGCCACTTACGAATTGTTGGATCAGAATTGCCAGCAGATCACTTGTGTGGAAATTCCAATTCGCATAATCTCGGAAAACACTGATGATACAAAGTTCCCAAGTGCAAGTGCTAATGCACCCTGTTCAAAATTAAGAAACACAATTTGATATCAAAATAAACCATCTATTTAAACTAACTGTTGCCTTACGTTATCGTTGGACCACTGTTGACTGGAAGGAGCTGAGCACAACCCTTAGGTTATCGTCCGCGAGTTCTGTTACTTTTCTGTATAACAGCGTATACTAGCTTCCAGGGTCAATTTTATGTGGTTTCATAACTCAGTTGTTTCTGTCAGCCGAACTAATACCTTGACTTTTATAGCAATGTCGCACGATTTATACGAAACAAAATATCATATCATGTGTATTTTCCAAGAAGATGGGCTAGGCAATCTATCAAAGCTATAGTTAATCCAACGGTGGGCTACAACTAAAATATGTAACAACTTTGCTGACAAATGGACTAATTCTCCGTTTGCCAGTAAATTTCCCAAATCGGTTCTTTACGAACTCATACTTCAACGTTTCGAATAGGAGTTTCCAGATCCGCATTTGCCAAACAGTACTGCTGCTTCCGGGAGATAACATCACCAAGATTAGAGGGTCATTTTGAAGTACACGTTGTGTGAACGCATTACGACGCTCAGTCTCAATGTACCGCGATTCATTAGAGTGAACCTTGGTCAAATTGACCATTAAGACAATAACTGCTGAAGCAGGCAGATATTAGATGTTGCCCGCCCGAACACAGCGCATTCCATGACGCGTTTCGACGTTCTTTGATTTTACCAGGTAGAGAGAGCAGACCTCAAGCCTGGGACCATTGGGTTCCAATGGTCGCAGTGAGCAAGGTTTACTTAAATGGGAATCGCGGTCAAAATGGAGATTGCGCATTGCAATCCAAGTACATAATGCGCACCAAAAAGGACACTATAATAAGTCAACAACCTTTATGCCAAGCATTGCCCGTCATGACCAGGTGAAGTAGGGATAGATGCCCCAACTAACATCCCAACAGTCTGGCGTTAGATGCATGCTATCTCTATCTGATGAGAACAAATAAGGTCAAAACGCTTCTCGCATTGCAGTGTTTTCGGGCCGACAAGATCCAGTGTCTACATGCATCATCATTTCTTCACCGACACGGTACCAGCTAGTTGCAGTCGAAATATGCGGGTGCAACATCATAAACATGTTTAGGATTTGAGTATGGATGATCAAAACCTACCTACCTTTAACTAATAACAATTAAGTTTCCCGTTAATGAGTGCGATTTGATAATGGGCTAATGTACAACGTGACAAAAGCTTAAAGCCCTCTTGCTAACCGGGATAATCAATGATCGGTATTTCAACCATGTTTTACCCGTTTGTGATATTCTCAAACAATGTCAGCTAAAGTCCTTTGGTAGCTACTATAGGGCACCTCCGTCTGTATTGGTTGTTTACATCATTTGCTTCAGCAAATGCAATATAATATATATAATGTAATATCTAATCTATAATATATTATATATAATATAAGTTATGCGCATTCTAAATCGCAACTTATATTAGAAGTACCGTAGGATGTCGAACGGAACTTCTCTGTCTACTTTTCGGTGATTTGGAGAGTAAACAAAAGGGTCTGATAATGCAAGATTTTGAAGCCATAACGTTTGTGTCGTACCGGTGTTAAAATGTAATTACTTAGCCATCTACACCCGTTGTTGATAGACTAAAGCTACCGTTTGCTGAATTTGTTCCAGTGCATGTGGCTGGAGTAGTTCTGTGTTATGCGGCTTTATTGTACTATTGTTTTTAATGTTCAGCAGTGCAAGAAGTTTATATATCCAAGAGTCATAGTCACATTGGTACGATCATTTTCTAGCTATGTAATCATGTAAAGATACCAGTGGAATTTATAGTAACGTGCGATTTGTCTTCAAGCATGTCAATGCGCGCGCCTAAAACAACACAGCTAGTTTGCTAAACATCGTCAATTTGTCAGTGCTGCTGTCTACTTTTACTTGCAAGTAAAAGTAGTTGATTACTACGCATAGAAGAGGTAGTTACGTTAACATTTCCTTAGTGACGTGCAGCTAAATTGTACGCTACTGCAAATCAAACTTTAGTCAGTATTCACCGTAAACAGAAGTGCTGAGTCGGAACTGCATACCTATCCAACGCCTTCGCGTCCGGGTTGCTTCTGAAGTTTTTTGCTTAAGGAATCAGTTCACTCAATAGTTTAATATATCGGTAAGTAGCCTGGCGAAGTCAATATATACTTATTTATAGATCCCATCTGGTCTAGAGGAGTGCTACCTATGCTGGACCTTGTTTCACCTTCCCCCTAGGAGTGCAACCACAAATACTCCAAAAGCATGAGGCTTGCTATGATTCGATACACCACAACCTAACTATCTATTGTGACCCATAAAACACCGCAGAGGCACAAGCAATTAAGGTCGAATGACCGTGTTTCAGAAGAAGTTAGTTTTATCAAGCTGCCTACCGAGAGAGATCATAAGACTCACTCAAAAAGTTAATAGTACCGCGACGAAAAACGCGCACAGAATAGGAGTGATTCAATGTCACAGGTCGAGAGAACCTTACATAAATTCTCAGTTTAGATTCCAAAAAGCAGCAGTAATTATTTCACTTATTTAAGTCCTTTCTCTGGATCGTTACAAATAGCTACGTTAAGCAATCGTAGTGAAGCATCAGTGGCCCAATAAACTATGGACGACGGCAGTTGTCGATGGTCACAGACCATCTTATGAAGCAGTCTTTGGAAATACGCATACGAATTATCTGGATGGGGAATAAACGGAGATGCAAGGCTAAAATATATGTAGGAGTGTCGATCAATTAATTCATGGAATGAGCCAATGGGTTATTACTGAATGTAAAGCAAGTGTAGACTTAGCTTCCGGAATGCTTTTATTTACTTGGTTAAACGAACAGTTAGTGATTAATTTTGGTTATTCTCTGGCTTCTGCAACATCGCTTAGTTTAGTTAATGATTTAAGCCGATTTCGCTCTCTTCTATCACGCGTGTCAAACGTACATAAGCTTGGACTAGAGTCGTAAAGCTCTGATAACATTCAAAACATTGAGTATTAATAAAGTAACTGAGGCAAAACTACGCCCAACTGCTCCACAGGTTCAGCCTACTGACTTACCAAGCAATATCATCTAACCCAACCTAAAATGAAATCTTTGTCTATACTTAGCTCTTTTCTATTCTCCGCACTTTTGGGTTGATAACTGCCTTAATGCATTTAACGACGCGTTCTAATGTCAAGCATATGTTACCCGCAATTGCGCTTATCCACTAGATTGCCGCAGAAGTAGTCGACAGGATACGTCGCTCTAACAACGCAGTGATTTTTGATGTCTTCAATAATATCTCAGCCAGTGCTTTACGTAATGTACTATTTAAGGCTGGAAATATGTTTGGTACAGAGTGCAGTTGCGTAAGGCCTAGTGAAAATGGCCAGTGTCATTTCCTAGTGCATTAACAAGCAGTGTGCTTATAAACAAACCTGACCAAATTGTTACCAACACCACTTTCTAGACCCCAAAAATAAATTCAAATGGTACGTCTTTACAAAGAGTACTTTTGTATAGAAAGCCTGACTCTTGTCTACAGTGCGACTTGCTGTCCTGCAGTGTTTCCGCATTTACATCATCTACAGCTACACAATTGACACCACTACGGTATGGTTACCTGTAAACAAAGTCATCCCTAGTCAACTCACCAATACAACATATCTCCGCGTCAATCCGACAATGATGATGTATACAGCAAATATCCTAGAATTTCGACTTCTAAAAATAAGCATATCCGCCGACATGAACCTGAGATAGGTAACCGTTACGTTAACGGTTACGCTACGTTAGCAGTTGCAACATACCGACACGCATGATGAACAACGAACAATAAAGCTGATCTGGACATTCCCACCACCTTGCCCTTTACCCAGATGAATATCCACTGTAACAACATAGTATAAAATTAGTGCGTGACTCGAAAACAGGTCACTACCTGAGGGCCGTAAAACGGAGCCTATCTGAGTCGGCAGATCCTTATGAACTTTATGATCTCTGCAAACTTACGGCCACGCTCAGGAGGTCAATAATTCTGACCTTATTGTCATTTCAAGCATATTGGCTTACGGTCAAACAAAATGTCAGGAACTCACAGTGTACTCGTTTTAATGGCCCTGACTCTGCTGATCTCCAAGATTATCTATTTTTGTTGAAGCATCTAATATGAAGTCTCACATGATTAACGTCATTAGATTGTCTAAAATGGTACACATTTATAAAGCACCAGTCGGGTTTGGTTCTAGTGATCAACACACATTGGAAGCTCTGGTTAGAGGGATTAGTGCCATTCGAAAAACCCTCACTTATCAAATGTATTCTTCAGTAGGTTATTGTTTCGACGTTACATTTCTGTCCTTCCAAAGAACTATAGTTCATTCATTCTGGGTACACTCTGTAAACCTACTTATCCCTTGCGAAATATCGCACCTATTACACACTAAAAATACCGAATTATCTGTGCTTTTTAGCAGACGTTAAGAGCTTCCACAAAATCATACAAACCTGCATTTTTATCTAGTCCTTGCCATGAAGTACACTTGAGTGGTTCTGCGTTTTGTCTTAAAATAAGTCTGAAACCCTTACTACTTTGAATGACCTTTGTTAATTGCAAATGTCTTTACAGCTGCTCATAAATATCCAAGCCTATGTACTTTTGCCGTCGCCTACCGACAGTCGACAAGATCACACCCCAGTGACAATGGGTTTGAAGACATGAAATCGTATACTTAATCGCTGTCAGATACTTCCATCCTCTGCCTTCATTATCAACGACTCCCAGCCTTGTCGCCAAAAACCCAATCCTTACCACATAAATCTTAATGGTTCATCGCCAGAAATAGAGCCCAACATGTTCAAACAGTTAGGGCGCCTACATACTTAGACAAAATTCATCAAATCACTTCTACACAACTTCCGTTCCTTCGTTATCAGATGCACACTCTTCATTCCATGGTATCGCTCTTTGAACCAGACTTCATCCTAGTGACAGACATGGTTTTAAAACAAACTTATCAA